CTTCTGTAATGATCCAGGGGGAGAAGATGAGGCATGGAGTGGGGCAGCGGCAAGGGAAATGGAGAGGAAGGATGGGGTGCAGATGTCATGGAGCTGGAAAAGCAACAGCATTTGAAAATGGATGTTGGTAATGAGGGAAAGAGAGGAACCTAGGACTCCTCGATTTCAGGCTTTGATTCAGCATTCTCAAGGCAGGCCATACAGAAGGCCAAATAGGTGGGGGAGGAAGGCGACGGCCTGGGTGTTAATTGAGCCCTGTGAGTTCCTGGACATCAGGAGGCCATGTAGGACTGGGATTCCTGGGTTCAGAGTTTAGGGGAAATGGCTCAGTTACCATCATAGTTGGTTTGTTTTTTTTTTAAAGAAGTATCCAGAACCTATGCCAAAATGAAGCTGTTTGCTGAGTATTTATTCTGTTGTAGTGATAGTTTGGGGAAGAGCACATCTGAAAGATGGTGTGATAGTAGGCAGGAAGACAAGTGTTAGGACTCATTTTTCCATTAGTTGCGGGTGGTGGAGAGCTATGGACATGCTTATCCAGGCTCCTCTGGTGGTTAATTTGACAGAATTTGTCTTGAGATCACGATTGTGGGTGTAGTTTGTGGCTGTGAAGCATTTTCTCTGTGGGACACTGACTGACCCACCGGGGTTTCAGCTCAGTCCTGGCTTTATTAGGCCTACTCCCCACACACCTGGCCATCTCCCAGTATAAGGCTGCACGATATGCCAGTCGTCCTAATTATATGAGATGTCTGAAGGTTTGCAGCAAGGGGAAGTTTCTTTGATGTTCTAGAAATGGTCCGAGAGCTCATCACGGTTTTGTGATTCCAAAGAATCCAACTTTGTACCACATGGTACTTAACTAGGTGGTTATTGTGAAGACAAATGGAGTACTTTAAGGCAGGTATCTAAAGCGCTGTAATAAAGAATATTTCAGGCTTTCTGTGTTGTGTTGACAGAACTGCTTATATCCATCCCTGTGTACATGGAGCGCTCGATTGGACCCCACCAGATAATTTGTGGCAGATGTGTATGTGTGTCAGAAGTGCAATTTTACTGCTTTGAATGGGCTCTGAGAGAAGCAGAGTAGGCATTTCACCTGACCTGAATCTTGACCAGCCTGTTTACCTTCTTACTTTCTATTTATGTACAGTCGCCCTACCCTGAGATAATTGTATTGCTAACCTGCTCATTTTTTCCCCTTCTGGCCATGCCTGTCACATACAGGAATATCTGTAAGTTCACTTAATTTAATTATTTAATGTGCTTTTATTTTCCTAAATGTCATGGCTTCCTTACTAATTAAAACAGACGTGATTTCAGGGGTGGAACCTCCAGGTCACGGAAAGCTCAGGCCCAGGGCTGGAGTCTTGTCTATGTTCCTCCTTCCAGTCCGGTGCTGGGGTGTCTTATCAGTCAGAATGGGCTACAGGGTGCTTCCGTAACAACTCCCTCCCTCGAATCTCAGTGTCTGAACGCAATAAGAACTTACTTCTCGCTCAGGGCCAGTGAGTGCCTGGGGCACAAAATTGAAGGAGGTACCTACTCTCGGGGTCACAAAAGCACAGGGTCTTGCTTATAGTAGATGTCTATTGTGCATTGATAAAAGGCCCTGTTCATTATTGCCACGCAGGGATCCAAACTGACAGAGGCCTCATCTCAACATATACTTCCATGATCACCGGAGCAGTGGGACAGAAACATGGCAAATTGCACATTGGCTCTTAAAGCTTCCACCGAGAAAGGACGTATGCCACCTCTGCTTACATTTCATTGGCCAAAGGAAATTTCATGCTCTGACTTCAGAGAGGACAGAGAAAGGCCACCTCTCCATGTGCCTGGGAAGGGGAGGCTGCAAGTATTGGCAGAACACTCCGAGTGGTCTCCCTAGTTATATTTCCTACATTCTCGAGCACAGAGGTCACTGGCATATAGCCATCGTGCCCGTATCTTTCACAGTTTGTAGCGTGGAAGTATAGTGAATTCCGGGGCTAGGTGGCTGGTAGATCGTGACTGTGCATGTGTGCGCAGGGAGGCCCGTTCGGTGAGTGGGCTGTGCTCCTTAGCATCACCTGCTCAGCTGAGGAAGGCTTTCATGATGTGCTAGGACAGCTACATCCCCAAAGTGAGGCTCCTCTCTTCCCAGCGTGCTGCACGCAGCAGCTCTGGTTACTAAAGCTTGTCAAATTTCAGCTGTAGAAAGAGCACTGCTCCTCTTTCTCCACCTCTTCATTTCTTTCATGCTGTCTCTTTTCCATTATTTATTATTTAACTCCAGGAAGCTTGAGGATATAGACTGCAAAGGAGGTGTTACCCTAAACAGAGTTGTTCTGTGTCACCCCGTGGGCGAAGTAAAGAAGGTTAGTCAATGGGCATTATTTATGATTAGCTGTGGTATCCAGAAGTAAGAGGACAAAAAGGACAAACTAGGAAACAGAGAAAAGAACAAAACAGTAGGCTTTCACCTTTGATTTTTTCCCTTTTCTTTAAATGTAAATTAAAGCATAGTTGTAATTTTTTTTTAATCTTGTATTTTGTAGGAAATCTTTTCCAAGGAAGTTCGGATTTTTTTTCACACTTAATCAATTGTCATCAAATACCTCTGATTCTCGGGTTTGACACAACTATTTTATAGCTGAGGACTCAAGAACCCTGGCTGGGATAGAAACTTGGTTAAAGTTATGAGGTGAATGACTGTAGTTTAAGGATCATAATCTTCTGGGCTTTCCAACTTAGCCTTTAGCCTTTCCTGTGGTAATAAACCCATGGGTTTAATTTCAGCTGTGAATCTGAATGTTTTTTGGTGTTATAGGTAATATTCTGAAATAGAGATTTCAGTCTGGTTCTCTCTGGGTATTTATCAGTTATGGGTCATATATTTGATTGAATATGTGCATCAAGATTTGGGGGGAGAAGAGTGAGTTCAAGATGGAAGGTGTCTCAGTTCTACTGAATATGGTACGATGTGAACTTTCCATCAAGCCCTTTGTTTATGGATTGTCAAGTCCATGCTGACCCAGAGTGAGCAGCAGTTGAGTTGTGGCTGCAGATCTGGACCCACATCCGAGTTGAATGGGAAGGGTCTGGGCTGACGTTGTACTTCAATTCCAACTTCCAGGCTCCTTCAATTTTGAAAGTTCTCATTCAGTGTATCATCAGTGAGATGCCATTGTACCTTTAGACTGGCTAAAAGACAATGGCAAGTTTTAGTGAACGTGGAATGAAGATATAAAATGGTATAACCACTTCGGAAAACAGTATGGTGATTTCTTATAAAATTAAATGTGGACCTATCCTATGACCCAGAAATTCTATTCCTAACGTGGCAGGTGATATAGAACATGTATACACCAAAAGAACTATAAAAGAATGGTCGTGGCACCTTCATTCATAGTAGCCACACTGGAAATAACCCGAATGCCCGTCAACAGGTAAATGGATAAATAAATTGTATATTCATATAATTAATACTCAACAATAAAAAAGGACTGAGTCACTGATATTCTCAACAACATGTATGAATCTCAAAGATACTGCGTTGAGTGAAAGACGCCTAAGACGCACACAAAATACTGTATATTTCCACTTACATGAAGTTCAATAACTGGCCAGATTAAGCTATGGCCGGAAAAGTCAGAAAGCAGTTGCCTCTGGCAAGGGGATTGACTAGAAAGGGAAGAAGGGAAATTTCTAGGATGATGGAAATATTCATAACTTGCTTGGGATGGTAGTTACAATGGTGTCAAAGCTCATCAGGTTGTATATGTAAAATCTGTGCTTTTATAGTATGTAAGTTATGCTTTGATTAAAAAAATAGCAAAATTAATTCAAGGTGTCAGACTTACAGGCCCCCTGATCTAACTTATGTTTTCACCAGGTATTCTTACTCAGTTTCCTCAGGGATATTGAAGAACTATGTCTTCTTCTGCGGTCAGTTGATTCAGAGGAAATCAATCCTAAATGTCCCAACTTTGCCTTTTCCCAGGGAGGATGTAAGAGCTACAGTGGGGTGCATATCACCGCGTGGGGTTGGCCAGCCTTTGCTTAGCTTATCTCCTGTTAACAGCTCGTGGTCACAATAGTGGCAGGGCACAATTACGGAAAATCTCCCTCTTTGTCTACTTAGAGTCAATAGAAATACACGATGCCCTGAAAGATTAAAGCCAAACCCCTGGTCATTCAGGTGCTGAAAATGGCATGACTACCTGCTGTTCATCTTCAGTGTGTCAGCATGGTTCTGGCAGGTGAATGGAGCTGCATCAGACACAGGCAAGGCTGTGGGGACTGCAGAGGCGGATGTGCGGAAAGAGGACAGAGGGGAAGGAAGAGTGACAAATATGTCCCCTTTTAATGCCACAGAGTATCACATTACAAGCTTGAAGTGACATTGGGTTGGTATCTAGTCTACACTGACTGAACTGTGAAATATGCATGAGGAAAGAAGGAAAAATCCGAGCATTATGTGATATTCTGCCTTGGAATGCTGTTAAGGATTGTCTTTTTTCCTTCTTTTTTTTTGTTCCTAATTTTTGAAAATAAACAGTCACTGTTATGACATGTTATTCATGTATATCATGTTAAGTATTTTACATTTTATGTAACTATGAATGAAGTGCATTTTTAAAAGGTGGATGTCATAGGTACTAAAAAGAAGCCTATGTAGTTATTTAAAAGTAAGTGAGTTTGAGAAATGAACCTGTTGTGAGTACACAGACCTTCTTTCCCTTGTGTATTGAAGCAAGTCTTTTAAAATCAGTGGTTTCTTTAAAAAAGTTCACTTCAAGTTTGGTTTGGTCTGGCTTTTGTTTTGTTACATCGTTAACCCCCAACAGGTTATACCTCCCAGTATTCATGCCCTGTGTAGTCCCCTCCCACTTTGAGGCTGGGCTTGGCCATGTGACTAGCTTTGGTGAATAGGGAATTAGCAAGTATGATGCAAGCGGACGCTTGATAATCACTTGCACATTGGGGCTTGTTCTCTTGGAATGCTTGCTCTTACAACCCAGCCACCAAGCTGTGAGGAAGTCCAAGCAGGCCACGTGGAGAGTCCTACATGGAAGAAAACAACTAGCCTCGAGTTGCGAGCTACGTGAATGAGGCCGTCTTAGAAACAGATCTTCCAGTCCTCAGTGGAGCCTCCTCAGCTGATTCCACACGAAACAGAGATGAGCCGTCCCCATCAAGCCCCGCCCACATTGCAGAATTGTGAACACGTGAGTGATTGTTGCTTTATGTCATTGGGTTTTGGGGTGGTTTGTTACATATGAACGAAATAGTACCTAAGCTTACTTTGTATGGATTTTAACTAGGTGTCTATCGCCACCTAAATTGAAGTTGTCATCTAGATGTTAACTCTGTTAAGTAGTTCAGGAACTCTGGGTTGAGAAAGATTCTGAGACTGCATCCTGGGTTAGCAGAAGAGTATGTGTGTCCCTCATTTAACCTATTCTCTACATAGCAGCCAGAGTGATCTTTTAAAAATCAATGGCTTCAGGATGACACCTGCACCCCAATGTTCATAGCAGCACTATTTACAATAGCCAAAACATGGAAACAACCTAAATGTCCATCAACAGGTGACTGGGTAAAGAAGAGGTGGTATATTTATACAATAGAATACTACTCAGCCATAAAAACCGA